ATAATATAATAATATAATAATATAATAATATAATAATAGAATAATAGAATAATAGAATAATAGAATAATAGAATAATAGAATAATAGAATAATACAATAATACAATAATACAATAATACAATAATACAATAATATAATAATACAATAATATAATAATACAATAATTATTAATAAAATATTTAAACTTGAGCTTTCAGTGAGATGATATAATCGAAGCCAATTTCATAATATCTTCCATTTTAGAAGAACCGTAAATAAATATTTTGCCGTACATGAAATTCGCTACAGGGCCCAATTTTAAAAAATATTTAATTACTTCGCGTTTAATCGTGGGACACGGAATTCCCTGTAAATCATCCCCGGAGAGAGTCGTCCGCAGGATCAGACGGTTCTCTGGGATACTATATTTTCGAAGCACGCAGCACATCTAATATACTAATACTTATGCTTGTAGGTGACATCGCACCTGTCAGTGACGGTCTACGTGGAGGACATAAACGATCATGCTCCGCAATTTGTCGATGCGCCTTATCACGTAACCGTGGACGAGCTTACGCCAGTCGGTGAGATATACTGCATACGAACTAGTTTTACGTTCAGCTGTGCTGCGGGACGCTTAACTCCATAGAAAAATGAAGTTCAATTGTCAGCGAGCTATTTATTAATCATCCTTGGAATCTGTCGCGGTCATTATTCTATTTTCATTGCTATCGCTATAATGCAATACTTTATTCTATTTTCATTGCTATCGCTATAATGCAGTATTTTATTCTATTTTTGATCTGCCTAATAATTGCATTTTTCAAGTCGAAAGATCACCGAAATCATTGATAAATGCATAGAAGCTAGTTAGCTATGATAGTTAATTTTCTTTTATATATTTTACATCGCGATAAATTCTTTTACATAAATATAAAACATATACAAAAAGATTAACTATCATAGCTATCATTATTAACTAGCTTCAATGTATATATCAATGATTTCAGTGATCTTGAAAAGTGCAATTATCAGACAGATAAAAAGCAATTTTCTTTAGTGCAAAATTACAGACAAAATATTCTAGTAATATGCCTTAATGCAACGATACAAAAATTATGCGGGAACTTTTCTCTTGTAGAAGAACTGCGTTAAAAATCGATAGAAAATATTGCTCGCGATATTTCGGTAAAAGCCATTAACGAGGGCCCGACTGACGAATTAATTGAACTGTAACATAACCGGTTCGGAAGAAAATCCGAAAGAAACCAGTCGCCAACGCTCTATCATTTTATCGAATATCCGTTCGATCGAACGGAACGTTGCGCAACCGAGACGTTAATTCGCGAGCGCTTTTTTCGGCGCGCCGCTTCCCGTAATCGTGATCCGCGAATAGGTGCAATCTCGAACCAAAAGAAAAAGAAAAAAAATCGCTATCAAGCGGCGATCGCAAATCGTGGATCGATCGGAATAATCGTAACGCGATCGGACCGGGCAAGATCCTGGGGCGGAAAAGCATCGTTTTACTCGGCCGAACAGAAGGCTGCACGGCCAATTGGCGGTTGGAAAGCGTGGTCTTTTGTGCGGCGGTCCGAGATTCGTGTGTCTAATCGCAGGTGTCACGATATTTCGTGGGATCCACGCGGTGGACGGTGACAAGCCGAACACGCCGAACAGCGACGTCCACTACGCGATAGTGAAAGGCAACGAGCTGGGGAAATTTTCACTCGAATCCGGCCACAGAACCGCTCTCATACTCCGTAAACCGGTGGACTACGACAACGGCGATCGCGAGTTCACGCTGGTCATCGCGGCCACGGTGAGTACACGCCGATACGTTACACCGTGCACCGGCACAGAACATCGTGGAAAAAGCGCGCAGGTGAAAGTCCCGCGACGCCGATGTTACCGCGATGATTTCACGTTACGGACGGCGCCCCATTGTCAACCTTTAACAAACCCCCGTGTTCCAGGACCGCGGCGTGCCCGCCAGGACCACGAACACCACCGTCAGGATCACGATCGCCGACAACGACGATCTAGACCCGAAGTTCTCCCGCGACGTCTACAAGGCGAAGATCCACGAGTTCTATCCCATGCCGGTGAATATCATTTCAATTGTCTCCCTTCGGTCTCTACGTAATTTAACCGTTTGCGTACCACGAGCCACTTTTGCGCTCTTCAGATTTTGTGTCGAGAAAAGCCAGGGCATTTGCCCGAAACAGACGACTTACGGCCCACCCGAAATTTGTCGAAACGTGCACAGTCTTTCAGACGCATGGATACGTCGCGCGTCGCATCGCTGTCAGTAATCCAATTTGCATTTTGTTGTTACCTATTCTAAATTAATAGTATATATATTTTCATTCGTAACGTTTTATTTCATGTTTTACGGCTTTTTTCGACACATAATCGAAGGAGCGCTATTGCGCTCTTCGGCTCTTTTCGATCCTGTTTTTTCAGAACCATCTGGTACGCAAACGGTTAACGCTCAACCAGCAGTTACACTTAGACACACTTAGTCGAATGATGACCGAATAAGAAAATCTTCCACATCTAATTTCTAAAACTTAAGAATGATTGTTTAACACTTAGCCAACCGAACGGGCAGATCTCCCCGTTTTAAATTCAGTCGATTCACGACCGAATAGATAATTAATGAAAAATTTTAAATGATTGCTTAATTTTATTAAGATTTGTGAGAGGTACGAATGCTGAAGAAGTAATTGATGCCATATAAGTTTGCTTCATAATTTTTGTTTAATCGAATGAAATATTTTTTTTATGAAAATTTTTGAGGTTTCTAGCGCGGTCGTGGAAGTGTTAATATTATTAAGATTTTGCAAGAGAGAGGTGCGAATGTTGAGGAAGTAATTGACGCCATGTACAGTAATGTCTCTCTAATTGACGCTCCGATTGTACACAGAAGTGGACAATTCGGGAAGTGGAGATACGAGCCTTGCGACTCCTTTTTTATAGTTGGTGGCAATCGGTAATCACAAAAACCAAGGCTCGAATAATCGTCCCACCTCTCCCTCTTCACAATCTGAGCGACAATTACAGAGAATTTAATGTACAGTAAAGTTTCTCTAATTGACGCTCAGATTGTCCAGAAAGATGAACATTTTAGAGAGAGGAGATACAATTCATTTGATCCTTGCGATTCATTTTTATAGTCACGAATTGTCATCAACTATAAAAACGAGCCGCAAGGCTCGAATAATCGTATCTCCTCTTCTCAGATTGTCCATTTTTGCGGACAAATTGAGCGTCAATTAGAGAGACATTACTGTATGTCGTATAAGTTTGCTTCGCAATTTTTATTTAATTGAAATACTTTCATACTTTAATTTCATGAAATTTTCGAGGTTCTTGGCGCGGTTGTGAAAGCGTCGAGTGTCCTTTTTTGATCAATGAAACGCCGAGATCGTGATCGTTCGAAAAAAGGTCAGAACTCCGAGGCTGATATTAGAGAAAGAAATTTGTTTAACGTACTTGTCTAACTTGAAAAGAATTCAGTTCGACGATGTACAGTTTTGTACCACTTTTTTATGCTGGAATCTTTTCTGCAGCATCAGCTCTTGCAGATGTCACGGATACGCATCTGTGACTTATTGATGACCCAGAAGTGGAAATCGCCGGTATAGTTGCGCCCCGTTTTTTCCCCCCGTTCAAACTGGTATACATTAATCCGACTTTCTACGTATGAGACAGCAAATGGAAGCCGACGATGTAAATTTCCGCGTGTCCGCGGGGTCGTAGGTGAAGATCGCGCGGATGATGTGTTCGACATCGGTTCTTTTTTTCTTTTTCCGTAATTTTAAACTGATCGATTTGGAATTTTGATCTATTACTACGGCACATTCCCAATTAACCGCGCGTAGAAACTGTACACCTGCATCCCTGGAACGCGTGACTTGTAAAATAAGTAATTACCATTCGCGCATCCATCAAGTTAACCCGCGGAGAGCTAATCCTGGCTCTCCCACTTGCAAACGTGACGAATATTCTATTTCGAGTGATTTATTTACTGGAAACGTTTATGGCTAACGCAAGTTGCCGATGCTTCGACGAGCTTGAGATTATTTTGCGCGATTTGAACAGGAAACGGTTCAGCTTGATTGAAATCTAAATAATCGGATATTTGTCGCGTCGCAAATTACGATCTTGTTCTTGAAACAAGCGAGAAGATTTAAACGATCGATTCAAATATTATTTTCATAACAATCAGTCGTGTATCTTGAAAGTGTTCTGAACTGTCATTTTCATAAAAACGTTCATGGAAATCAAGTATCTTCGAACTCTGTAAACAATCTACGTTAATTTTATTAGTAATTAGTATATTATTTATGGCACTATTATTCATGGTACAGAAGATTTCTTTCACATACGCGAAGACAGAGTCCATTCAACTCTATAGCTTCCAGTGACACTTCAATGTCAACTCGGACGAAATAAAAAATTCATTAAACCAAGTATACTTTCGCCATACACGTGCAAATATTTTTAATAGCAATTTTTCGATCTAATCCGACCAAAAGTTCCATACAGTTTCAACAATCGTATTCAACGGAAATTACATAATAAATACGTTTCTCTTCCATTTTCTAGCTTCAATCGAAGCGACAATTAAATGACATATAAAATAACTGAATTAAAACTTAAAAAATAAACGGCATCCTCCAGTGACGTTTATAGATTCAAACGGCATAAAAATTCAACGCGATGCAATCCCAGGTGAATAAAACGTTGACACGCGCTGTCCTAAAAGTATGCAGCTGGCAGCAGTTTATGCGACCGATGCACCGCAAAAGCGGCCGGGAAATGCTCGAGCAGCGACAGAGTCGCGGAAGATTAACTGCACACGTTCGCACAAATCCAAAGTGGTCGGTGGCAAGAAAATCGCTGGAAAATTGACGCTCGTATGCGTTAAATCGCGGCTTCGACGCGCCACGGAATGCCATCCGAGCGTCGCTCGGGCCCCGAAGCATAATCGGGCCGAATAAATCTCGGACAACGACGCGCGAGCGCGCGCGCGCGCACCTCGAAAGTCGAAGGTAGTACGCGCGCGGCCGTGATAAATATCGCCGCGAACGGTATCGCGCGATCATGTTTTCCTACGGAACGAAATTTATACCTCAAGGTTCCCGCGGAAGAAAGTATTAACCTCTGACATTACCCGGGCCGAGCGGCCAGATGTGGCACAGCCTAGATCACAGGCGTCGTCGCGTGGAACGCGAACGACTGGCCCGTCGCGACCAGTAACTGCTCCCTTAACCCTTTCGCTACTACGGGCTACTATAGTGGCCCTCCATAAGATGTCACTGAGTTACTACGGGCCACTATTGTGGCCTTTCGTATGATGCCACTGAGGTACTACGGGCCACTATAGTGGCCTTTCATAAGATGCCACTGAGGTACTATGGGCCACTATAGTGGCCTTCCATAAGATGCATTATATTGCATAATGTTTTATTTCCTCTCATACTGTAAATTAAAGAGCGCATGCTAAGACGTTATAAATACCCTGGAATACCCTTTATTTATAAATACCCTTTGGAGAGAAATTTTTTCGTACGAAAACATTCAAGCAGCTTGGGTTCTCCGCCGCGGTACTCCCGCTGACGATCGGCGTCGCGTAGCGTGCAGTGATGTCGCGGCGCTCCGTTCAGCGGAAGTATCGCGGTGGAGAACCCGCCCGTAGCGAAAGGGTTAATGGCACAGAAAAAAAAAGAACAGCGTTATTGAACTTCCGAGACGAATTCTCGGCGCGCGCGAGGCAGCTCGCCCGCGCGGGGAAGACGACGACTGTGAAAGTCGCGACGCGTGGGCATCGCGATCCGCGCCGCTTAAATCGCGGCGACACCGCGAATCGACTACTTTTCATTTCGCGCTGCAACTTTTTTCAGGGGATTCCAGTTTCGGCACGGTTTCGAAAAATATCGCCGACTTTCGAATCGCGCGGCTGACGCGCCGAATTATCTCGAGGACTTTTCTGGACGTTACGCAATCTTCGCGATCACTTTTCTCGAGATACTGTACGCTCGAGTCGCGTGTAATTATTGTAATTATTGCTTAATTAACGCTAGTGTTACGGAGCATAAAAAACAGCTGTTTATAAAAGTAACAATAAGACAGTTATTCTGATTTTTAACAGGTGCTATTGTAACATTTGCTGTAAGCAACGTATAAATTGAATGAATAACTCGAATAAATAACTCTTCACGATATGAATAATCGTAAATTAAAATGTTAGTGACCCGCCATCTTGACGGGCCTTCCGTAAATCTAGCATAAACGACCCTAAATATCCGCGTATTCGACGAAAAAGCTTCGAGAACCTTTGCGAAGACGATGGAATATTTATGATCGCATTCGCGAAACTGAATTAACATTTTCTCCGATATCAACCAGGAAATGTTATTCAGTTCAGAAATATTATTCAGTTAATTATTGCTGTTAACTGCACACCGGTCAAGCGAGGACTTAATTTCCACTGAATATCCATATTCAAGAAAAAAGTTTCTAGAATCTCCCCGAGGATGATGCAATGTTTATGATAATAGTATTAGCCAGGAAATGATAACATCGCGTTCACTCATTTATTATACAGTTAATTATGCCATTCATCGCATCGTTAATCAAACGAGCTGGATAATTGACTCCGAACGCGTAAACGTTATATTTGAACGCATAAAGAAAGGAGGATACGACGGAAACCACGAACAAAGTGTCTTCTTATCGGTGGAATCCGTGTTGGCGCGGTTCAAAATTAGACTCTCGGTTTCACAGTCGAGACTCTCGCTTCGCAAGATCTGCTCCAACGTAGCGAGATTCGTATGGCGTCATTTTTAGAAATCTCCACCCTAATCTCGTTCCAAGCGAAAGTACCATATTTCTGCATTTCTGTGTACGCTCGAATTAACGTCGTATTATTACTGTGTGCCAAACTAATTCCAGGTTTTTCTCAGATCATAAAACAATGAAAGCGTACACGGTATCATCGTTGTCTCGCACATAAAATTGTTTTCTCCGAGAGGAAGATGCCTCGCGATACGAATGAGAAACGAGCATCGGCGATCATTGCGATCCGAATGCTTTAAATATTCGAATTCCATTACCAGAGAATTCTGATTCGAATTAATTCGCGTTCGAATAAAATCTTAATCGAACGAAATCTCATTCGAATGGATTCTCTCTCGATTAAAATCTTATTCCGACGAATCTGTATTCGTTTCGATAATTAACTCGACGATAATTAATTCGCGTTCGAATAAAATCTCAATCGAACGAAATCTTATTCCAATGAAATCCTAATCGAGCGAAATCGCATTCGAATGGATTCTCTCTCGATTAAAATCTTATTCCGATGAATCTGTGTTCGTTTCGAGATTAACTCGACGATATCGAATAAAATTTCGTTCGTATTTTCATCGTTTTTTTTTTATCCGTCGCGCGAACAACATTTTACCGGATTCTCGCCGGGAACGTATTTATTTTCTAAGGCCAGAATAAAAGATTGATGTCGCCGAGACGTCGCGAACGAGGGAAACGATGCGCCTCGATGACCGCGTAGAAAGTTCTCGGGTTCGTTCCGTAATATGCAAGTACCATCGGCGATCATCCACCGTCGCGCATTGACGCGGTCATTGCCGCGGGTATTCCCGATGCAAGTGGCGAATAGTAGTTGTTTCGCGATTGCGCAACAGATTAATCTCAGCCGGTGTTTAATTACGTCTGATTCGGCACGGATCTGCCATGATATTTTCCAGCGTGTCGTTAGAAGGTGTTTCGCGGCATTTCGACATTGTGCCGCAAGCGAGTAATTGCCGTTGACATAGTTTTTCGAATCGCCACGTTTATGCTTATTAATATAATCGGACGATCGTTCTCCGAACAGTGTCCGATTAAAAGATGTTCGATCGAACGCTCGTTCATTGAAATATAATTAATCGAGTGGAGAAAAAGTGATTTCGTATTCGAACGAATGAAGATTTATTTCTCGAGCATATCGTTGCACGATTCTCCATTGCAACGCCACATGGTTGAATTATTATGGCATTATATTTCTCGCGTTTATTCTCGATGAAACGCTAAATTGAAACGCTAAGAAAATAGTGTCTCAATAAGTAGTTAGAGCAGTGCGCTTCGATGTTATACCGACGAGCGTTTTGCCCCGCGAAAACTTAAGTGTTTTGCCCTGCGAAATTTCTCCGCTGTTTACGTTTGCGCAACGTTCGCGCAAAAGAAAATTATTCAGATCGGCCGAAAGAATAGTGTGCCGCAACACCGAATGGAAATCGAAGATTTATCGTAGAGGCATTCGCGGAATGTTTTTGTGCAAATAATTATGCCGGTCTTAGGTCAGAAAATGTTTAACGATCGAACCGAAGCGTAACGAACTTTCTACGTTCTAACGCGAGCCCGCAACATCAACGCTGTCCAGTTTTTACGGAATGACAGCACACACATATTCTGTTCGCCTAAAGGGCTTCGAACTTCGATCGCTCAAATAATTTCATATCCAGTCACGCATTTTTTCTCTCGAATAGACAGCGAACCGGGTAAGAAAATGCGCCGATTGCCAAGCGTGAGAAGGTGATTCGATGTGATCTGCACGAACTCGTGAAAAACGAGGTTTCTACATCGCGTTCTGCACAGATATAACGATAGCAAAACTCGAGTAGGGTTACAAAATTCGCAAAAAAACGCGACAAACCGACGGAGAACTCGCGAAAACGCAGGAAAATCGGGATAGATTAATTATATCAAGGCATTTCAAAATCCAATTTGGCGAGCAATTTTTATGCAAATTACAGTAATTTCTCCCCAGTTCGCGGACAGATCGCGCAGAAAAATGGACAATTCGGGAAGAGGAGACACGATTAATCGAGCCTTGCCCCTCGTTCTCATGATAACCGATTGTCAACGACTATAAAAACGAGACCAAATTGTCCATTTTCGTGCGCAATCGGAGCGCGAATCAGGGAGAAATCCCGAAGAAACCTGCCTCCCAAGCCGTCGCAGAAATCCGAAACTCACCAAATCACCTGTCTCGCAACCGTCTGCAAGGTCACGTGCATTCCGCAGGAGTACCCGATCTTCACGCAGATCAACTTCAGCACGCCGATGCAAGCGACGGACTGCGACATGGACATCAACGTACCTGTCCGGTACGACATCATCTCGGGGAACGAGCGGGGCTTCTTCCAGCTGGACCCGAAGAACGGCACGCTGTTCCTGAAGCGTGCCATCGACCTGGACGCCGAGAAGAACCTACCCTCGAACACGTTCACCTTGCAGGTCCACGCGTCCCAGGTGGACAATCCGCTGAAGACAGCGGTCGCCCGTGCCGAGGTCGAGGTGCTGGACCTGAACGACAACCTGCCGGAGTTCGAGGTGGACCTGTACAACATCAGCATCGTGGAGAACCTGCCGAACGGTTTCAGCGTGCTGCAAGTGATCGCGCGCGACAGGGACCAAGGAGAGAACGGCCAGTTCGACTACGAGCTGCGCGACCCTTCCGGCGCGTTCTCGGTGGACCCGAAGTCCGGTTGGCTGACAGTGAAGGACCAATCGGTGCTCGATCGCGAGAAGAGGAATCATCTGCGTATGAAAGTGCTCGCGATCGAGAGGAGGCCCAGCGTCGTTCGCGGCGACGACTCTCGCCGCGTGAACGGATCGTCCGTGGACGTTGAAGTCACTCTGCTGGACGCGAACGACAATAACCCGATCTTTGTACCCGGCAATCTGTACGAGATGGTCGCCAGGAGCGACTACAAGGTGGGCACTGTGCTGGGCCAGGTACACGCAGTCGACGATGACCTCGGGCCCAACGGCATGGTCAAGTACAGGCTTCAGAAACCTGGGAACACGACGACCCGCACGCCGCCGTTCCACGTCGACGAGATCACCGGCACGATTACCGTCGCCGAGAGCCCGATCCTCGAAGGAAGACACGCCATCTTCGTCGAGGCTGCTGACCAGCCTGCTAACCCCAGCGAGAGACGGTTCTCATTGGCGGTGGTCACCATCGATATCTTCCGATCGAACGGTGAGATTTTGTTGCTTCCTATGTAAAGGAATAGGGATCATTTTTTACAGTGAAATCTCGACAATTTTTCTTCAAATTTCTCCTGAATTTTTCCAACAGAAATGGACCATTTTTTAGCAAGATACGAGCAAAGAGCAAGATACCAAGAGCAGATACGATTATTCGAGCCTCGCGGCTCGTTTTTATAGTTGTCGAGTGTCAACGATTATAAAAACGAGGTGCAAGGCTCGAATAATCTCCTCTTCCCAAATTGTCCAGCTTTGTTTGCAAGCTGAAGGAAAATTAGAGAGAATTTACTGTATAAGTCGTGATAACTTTCCGCTCTTATCAGTTTGGTCAGTGGGACAATAAAAAGAAGGGGAATCTAAAAAAAAGGTACCTTCTTCCCGCGCGAGAAAAATATGTATGTTCTATTTACTAGACTGTGGATCTTTATGCAAAATGCGAATTTTCTGCATCGATCGCAGTAAACAGGAAACGCGTAGACATTTATTCCTGCCTTGAATCATTTTGATCAGCTATAAATAATATAATCAAATCGTTGAATTCCTCCAACAGTGTCTCCGTTTTATGTTTCAACCATTTATTTCTGCTCTAAATGCACGAAATCCGCAGTCCAGTCATTAGGATTTTATTTTCTATATTTATTTTGGATCTTATTCTTGTAGAATTTTTTATTGCCTCTTTTCATGAAGAGGCTAAATGGGTGCAGACTCGAACAGCAAAAATATTAAAATCCCAATTGCTTTTGATTTGCTTCCTGGCATAATTATCTTCATATTTATCGAAGAAGACATTCATTCATTCTGTCCATTTTTTAATAAAAACTCATCGAGTAAGACGTATTAAATTCTTTTTATTAAGAAACAATCGTAATAAATGAGTAAACGATTATAATAATGTCTTATTCGAGCAATATGAAGTCCGCTGTGCCCGAAAACAAAGCGAAAGCAATCGGTCATCCCACAGTAACCGGCACCGCTAAGCCGGGATTAGTAAGACACCGGCAACGCGGACGCGCGTGGCATTTCGCGCAGCGAAAGTTAATAATTAAATAAGCGTAACGAACCGTTCAACCGGTCGTCCTTCGGTGGCGGAGGCGGTGTTCCATGTTTCGGTTATCGCGGATGTTATCTTCGCGAACGCTCGGCTCGTGAGACCGCGCGTTCGAAACGCGCGCACGGTTCGCAGAAACGTGACTTCTCGGCTGTGGATAATGCACAATTCGTATCTCCGAGGTATCCGTCAAATGTAGCGCGGACACGTTCCATAACGTCGCCGGGAAATCGCATTCGTAGACAACCGAGAGAAGAAGAAGAAGAAGAAGTCTTGTGAAATATTCTCCCGTATCCGCAGTCACTCGGCGCGGCATCGAAGTAGAAGGCTCTCCATTGTGGCCGGAATCGATTCGGTCGCGCCTCGATTTCGTTCGTTTCTCTCGTGCGGAGAACGCGAACGGGGATTTTTATGGATGTTGTTTGAACCGTAGGTCCGGAGTCATTGGAACCAGACTTCGTCGGAGCCCCTTATGAGTTTTGGGTCGGTGCCAATGTGCCAGTCGGCACCAGCGTCGGTCAAATCCGCTTAAACGACGCCGTGAAGACAAACGATTTGATCTACGATCTCCTGCACAGCTACGAAGACGGGGGTGAGTCTCCACAATGGCTATTAATTAATTAACGTCCGCGGTGTCGTGATCTTTCGGCTAATTGAGACGCATTGCGCCGCAGGCAACGGTGAATGTGGTGAATGTTCCTAGGAAAGCTAGAGATTAAAATTATTACACGGTTTTCCTTCAGCGTCGTTACGTTCCCTGTCAATAATCAATCATTTTTGTTATCCTGTATATTAATCATTCGCTGCTCTAATCCAACACTGAGATATGTCCAAGTAACGAAGTTTAAAGTAAAAGGCATTCGAAGCTTTAGTTTTCCAATAATAATTTGATTTTCGGCAATAACGAAATATTATTTTCGCTAAATTTCGTACTAATGTATATCAAAAAAAATAAAATAAAATGAACGAATGTAATAAAGAAGAATCTATATAAATATGGATATTTTAATATCGCAATCTCTCTGCCTCATAAAAGTGAGAAGATCGAATTTATCCAGATCTCATACAGTTTTCATTATAAATTCGCTCAAACAGTATAATTGAATGAGTTAGTTAGGATCAGAATGGCGTGAGTCCCATTTTTTACAATTTTGACTTGTGTCTTAAATTGTAATCTATACATGCCAGAATGTTAAGAAACGTGTGAAATGAATTACAAAGTTGCTATAAAATAGTTGAACTCTAAATTACCTTAACAGCAAATTTGGTCACTAGACGATACACATATTATTGAACAATAATACCCATTGTTTCTCATAGAGAGGAAAACGTAACTTATGCCACTGTCATTCTAATCCAATCAATTAATCCAAGCATTTTCTATGAAAGTGTCTGCAAAGTTAATAGAATAATAAAACAACAAAATAATAAGATAATGAAATAAAACAGTATTAAAATAGTTACAGTAAATTCTCCCCGATTTTCCTTCAGCTTGTAACCAAAAATGAACAAATTTGAGGAGATACGATTATTCGAGCCTTGCACCCGGTTTTTATAATAGTTGACAATCGGCAACCATAAAATCGTATCTCCCCTTCCCAAATTGTCCATTTTAGTGTACAAGCCGAAGGAAAATCCGGGAGAATTCGCCGTACTCGGAATAGACGCGGGATCTCACGGATCCCTAACGACCACAGGCCCCGATTTAAACAGGCAACCCTAATTCCCGTGCAACAGCGGCGGCAAAGCCACCTCCTCCCCCCTCTCATGTTAATATACGCGACACATGCTGCATACATACGCGATGGAATTTCAGTTCCGTTCGCCGTCGAGGAGCGCTCCGGGACGATCACGGTCGTCGACGAGATCGAGCGGTTCGACCGGTCGACGTACGATTTCGAGGCGGTCGTTACCGACGAGAGGGACCTAATGCTGATCACCAACGTCTCGATCCACGTGGTCGACCCTAACGACGAGAGGGGGATCTTCACGAGGTAAGTGAAACTACCGGCGACGTGTCTCGCAGCGGATTTTAACGAGCTCCGAGTGAAACCCCGGCGCAGATTGTTTCTCCTTGTAATTGGGGAATTAAGATCGATGCCGCAGATAGCACACGTTCGTGGAATCGTTTAGGCGAATTTTATGGTGGTTCGCACTCCACTGCGAGGGTCGGTTAAGCTTCAATGGGATGTTCGTCGTGTGTTTCCTCGGCATCGACGATTCACCAGCTCAGAGAATTTTGCGAAATTAGACTGACCTAATACTGACTGTTCGAACCCAGTCTTTCTTGTTCGAAATTTCCGTTCATTTCTTAATTCAAGCACACGCTGTAATAAGCGTTGCGTAAGTTCAATCGTGTCACTCTTAGGAGGCGAGGAACAGCGAGGAGCAAAAGTGTCCACACACGCGTTCTGAAACTGGTCCAAATTACTTGAATTATTTTGTAACTGTTAGAGGGATTAGTGCAATGACTAAACTACTTTTTCTTGAATTACGTTATTACAGCAAATTCTCCCGAATCTTCCTTCACTTTGTAAACAAAGATGAACAATTTGTGAAAAGAAGATGCGATTATTTGAGCGGCTCATTTCTATAGTTGTCGATTGTCTAAAATTATAAAAATGAGGTGCAAGGCTCGAAAAAAGGCTCCTCTTTGCAAGCTGAAGAAAAATTAGGGAGAATTTATAGTACTTGGAATTCCAATAAAATTACAGCAGACTCTCGTCTTTTCTCTTTTTTATCTGAGCCTGCAATGGCAATTTAAATTAATTAAATTGCCAATAATTAAATTCCCAATTTATACGACAACCTACCTTGATACATTTGTTTCTTATTTTCGCTGATATAATATGCTACCAAAAAACCTGGCACACCCTGTATAATCGCAAACGTTCACAAATGATTAAATACATCCCTTAGAATGCGCCATCCTGCACATCGTTCTAACCTGCATCGATCTTAAAAAAAAAAACAAGCGTTAGCAACAGAACAAAGACTCGCACTCTTGACAAACAAAAACGAGTAACTGGACAGTGAGATGACAGAGAAAACGCACGTGTTTACCAGCGCGAAGAAAGTGCTCGGAATCGGTTCGATGGCGCTTCAGGGGGCTGTAAAACGGATTCGAAAACAACCGAGCTGTTGGCCAAGAGACGATTATTACGTAGAGGGTAGACGAGGGAAAGAGAGAGGGAGAGAGGGAGCAATTGATAGGTTGATTTCGTCGGGCCGCCGGGTTAAGCCGGGCAAAAGGTCAGGAGTGAACGGCTCCTGGGGAGTTCTGTTTGCTTATCCAAAACTCGATGGCCGTTGATTGCAGGGGAACGACCACCGCCCCTCTGGTGTTCCACGCGAAGGAGAACGTGCCGGGCACGTACATCGGGCAGGTGCTTCCTCAAAACAGCACCGGCACGTCCGCCAGCGGCACCCGGTTTTTTATCGTCAATCAGCAGGACGTCCCCGATATCTCGATCACGGAGGACGGCGCTTTGTACGCGCCGCAAGGCCTCGACCGCGAGACCAGGCAGAATTATAGCATCACCGTAATTGCAGAGAGCCACCGTGGGGTCGGAGTTTTCCAAGTAAGTTTTTCCCCCCTCCGGTAATTAACCCCTCGACCGACCGGCTGAGTATCGGCGCGGGACAAGCTGAGCCGAGCCGAGCCGAGAGCCGCGAGCCGAGGACGGGGTGCGTCGAACTCGTTAAACGCCACTCCGGGGAATTTTCTTTTCCCGATTCAAAGCGCGGACAAATTGATTGAGGCGGGCCCGTCCTTTGAGATTCGCCGCGATTAGAGACACGTCGGGACAGTTTTCTCACCCTTCGTTTCTAGTCACCCTCCCGATTCTGCAGGGAATTTCACTCGACGACTGTAATTCCAGCCGGTTGCAGCTTTTGCAAACATTGTTCTCCACGCGATTCTTCGGTAAAGTCGACAGTCCGACGATTCCAGTTGTTTGGAGAATGTTATTTCGATCTCGACGGTGTTCGAATATTTTTTATACAATATATCACAGATTCAGCAACGCGTGGACAAACGTTAACTCTTTGGGGCACAGGATTTCAGAAAATAAAATGGATCCATGTTGCACAGAGATTTTATTGCGTTTTATTGATTAAACAAAATTGGTATAGTTTTATTAATAAAGGAATCACGTAATATAAGAACATAAAAAAATAATAAGGATTCGATTCAATTTGTTGTTATAGGATGGATGACTAAAAATGTCCTACCGCGCATTACCGCGCATCAAAAAGATGGGACATTTTTAATCCCACCGTACTCCAAAGAGTTAAAGGGTTAACACACACACACACACACATGATTTTTTTAAAATAGAATTTATAATATTATTCATTCCGATAGAGTCAGAATTAACGAAGTTATGTGCACTTGTATATAATTGTAATAAAGACTGTTTTATTGTTTAATAGAGGGTGGCACTTTTTTGTAGCCAAAAAAGTGGCCTCTTTTCACTGTTTCGATGGAGTATTACAGCATGATTTGAGAGAATATTTACGATACGATTATTTGAGCCTCGCTGCTCATTTTTATAATTGCCGATTGTCAACAATTATAAAAACGAGCTGCAACGCTCGAATAATCGCATCGTCTCTTCCCAAATTTTTGTTTACAAGCCGAAAAAAAATTAGGGAGAATTTACTGTAATTACAATTAGCGTAACAATAAATTGATATAGGAATAATACAAATAAAATTTCCGAAGCACGTTGCGAACAAAATAAAATTGTTCCAAGTGAATCGTAAGAAACAGAAATGAAATGAACACGCGGCTCTCTCCATTTTCTCTCCATAAACGCGTAAAATCTAGCCGTCGGTTCCCCAAATTTTCATTCTGCTTCACGGTGTGTTTTATTTTTCCATGGTCGAAGATTTATGGGATATTTTTTTAATACACTGAAACCTAATATTGAAGTACCGTGTTCTCATAAATTCATTCTCCCCCGTCCTACACGTTCCGCCATCCATCATGTTCGACTTTACAGGCACGCATCTAAAATTCTGCAGCATGAAAACTCGATTTCTATATCATAATCTGTATAATTGAATCGACTACGCGCTCTCGCAAGTTATCATTGTTCCCAGCAGTTTGTTTAGAAACGGTCACGGACACGTCACAGTCGCGTTATACCGTTCGTTGCGATCTTTATGGCATAAACCCGACCGTGTGTGAAAAGTTCGGCGCTCGATGTCCGTGACCCAGTTATTTCAAAAATTTGTTTCGTACGCTTTCATGTTCGCACGGTGTCATCGTTGTAACAAATTCGTTCATATTTTTTTATTCGACGGCAGGCGACTAATACGTGCGCGACGCGTCTGCAAACTCGAATATCCGTGTGACGCCGCGTGCTGGTATGAGTTAAATTGATACCGAGAACTGTATATTATTCATTTCGTTTCAACACTCGAATATGCACAATTACAAACTCTGGCTCAACACAGCTAATTATAATCAATTAAATGGAGTATTAAATTAAGGGGGTAATCATTCAAGTAATCGCTCAATGTTATTTAAGTGTTATTATTACCAACAGAAACAACCCAGATTAATTAAAAATACAATTTTTATAATATCTCCTCGACGTCCACGTTTGAACAAATTTTCAAGCAGGATTATTCCTCTCGATTAAAATTTTTGACAACGTATTAAATCTTCTGTAGGTGACAGTCATCGTTCTCGATGAAAACGATCACCCGCCGATGTTCACGGCGTCCTTGTACGAAGGACGAATCCTCGAGAACAGCCCGCCCGGGACCAAAGTCAATTTGTCGTCTCCTATCGCAGCCACGGACCGAGACGAAGGTATCAATCAAAACTTTGTCTTCAGTCTTCACGGTCAAGGCAGCGAGCTTTTCAGGATCCATCCCACAACCGGTTTAGTATACTTCGAGGGAATCGATGAGCGCACCCTCGACAGAGAGGCGAAAGCCAACTACACCTTCAAAATCGTCGCCACAGACAATGGTGAGCCTCTTCCACCACCTCCATCGATATCAATCAAATATCGAATCGAAAATCAATTGCTTCGAATCACGATTCGTTTGATCGACTAATAAGTCATCCAACATTTTCACCTAAAACGTCTTCGTTATTTTAACTCCTTGTCATAATTTGACGAATCTGGCCCGAGACGATGATGTATGGCAATAATATGTTTAATACGATTATTATTCCATTTGTTTGAGTTGGAATAAAAATCTATGCTCTTTTCATCAATATTTAAGCAATCGAGTAAATATATTTTTTATATTCCTATCAAGAAATTAGAACAACTTTTGTGCAGTATTGTGGAGTATGAATATTATTCGGTTCGTTTGAGTTGAAATAAAAATCTATGCTCCTTTCATCAATATTTAAGCAATCAAGTAAATATATGCAGGGTTTCCCAAAATTATGGTACTTCTGGGAAATGGAGGGTTCCTGAGATCATTTGAAGTAACCTTTTCCTAAGCGAAATTGCAATCCGCGGCTTCGTTTACGAGTTATTAACGAAAAACAGTGACCAATGAGAGGCGAGCTTGTCAGGTGCGCGGCGGCCGAGCCAACGAGCGCACGGAACGCGGTTCCGCCCATTAGCCCGGTCGCCTAGCGCCGAGCGAACTCGCCCCTCATTGGCCAGTGTTTTCTATGAATAATTCGTTAACGACGCCTCGGAGAAAATTTTTGTAAAGGGAAAAGTTGCTTCGAATCACCTCAGGAATCCCTCGTTTCCCGGAAATACCATAATTTTGGGACACCCTGCATATTTCATATTCCCATCAAGAAATTCTCACAAATCACCTCCTTCTCCTAAAATAAAAAATCAACGATCATGTTTCCAATGCAGCACAATCTCCTCCACCTTCCATAAAATCAATTCCGCTATCAATAACACAGATCTCCGCAAAGTAGATCAATCTTCAATCAATATTCCAACCCGCCTACAACATCCCCGGCAAATCATTAACGTGTATCCACGTCGACCAGACAATTTTGTACGAACGAGCACATTGTTCGCAGGCGGTCTGCGGTCTGAATCCGAGCTGAGGGTATCGGTGATCGACGTGAACGACAACGCGCCGAGCTTCATCAGAATGATCGTGCTGCCGGATCAGGGTGTGCGCGTCTCGAGCGAGCCAGATACCGAGGCGGCCTTCGAGAGGAACGACGTGCTCGATACGGGCGAGCCTGCCGCCGGAAGCCGGGCCCCGAGCAGCCGTCGATCACCTCTTCTTCTGGTGCCGGAAAACGCGACGATCGGCGCGCCGATAATACGGCTGTTCGCCGAGGACAAGGACGAGGGAGCGAACGCGGCGATAACGTACAGCCTGGGGAACGAGACGACATCCGGCGACGACGTAGGCTCGCGTCGATTCGACACCACCAGCCGTAGATACTTCCACCTGGACCCAAGGTCGGCCGAGATATCGGTGGCCAGAGGTCTGCCGGCCGAGAGGAACATCCGGCTGCTGGTCCTGGCCAAGGACACCGCCGGTCTGACGGACAACATCACGGTCAGGATCCACGTGGAGGACGTGAACGATCATCCGCCGATCTTCGACAAGTCCTGGTACACGTTCGACGTCTCCGAGGGCGTCTACGCGGGCTACGCGGTCGGCACCGTCCGCGCCTTGGACACCGACTTCGGTGCGAACGGGAACGTCAGCTACGAGCTGGTCTCCGGGAACGAGAGCCCGGAGAGCCCGCAGAACGTCTCGAGAACCTTCGACGTGGCACCTCGCGAGGGGATCATCAGGGTAACAGGGATGCTTGACAGAGAAACTGCCAGCACTCACCGACTAGTTGTGATCGCTCGCGACGATGGCTCTCCTCGGCTAAGTTCGACGGTGGAGATCGAGGTGAACGTCGTGGACGTGAACGACAATGCCCCGATGTTCTACGGCTACGACGAAACCGAGAACGACGTGGAAGGGAACAGCCTGCCGATCTACCACGCGTCCATTTTCGAGAACAGCCCGATAGGCACCCAAGTGACCAGGGTGCACGCGAACGACTCCGACTTCGCCGGGAACGGCAACGGGCTGATCCTCTTCGACCTGAGCCATCAGGGCGAGACGGAGAAGCAGTACTTCGCCGTGGACAGCAAGGAGGGCACGATCACGACGATCGGCAACATCGATTACGAGGCCCGGAAGATCCATCGGCTGATGGTAACCGCCAGCGATCTTGGCTCGCCGGTCAGCCTGACGTCCACGGCGGTGGTGTTGGTGACGGTGGTGAACGTCGACGACGACCAGGACGAGGCCGGCAACGAGCTGAAGAAGTCGCCTTCGTTCAGGCATCGGTACTACGAGGTGGAGGTCGAGGAGAACGTCGAGGTGCCGGTCGAGGTGGCGCAGCTCGACGTGGTCGACGGACACCAGAGCGATCATATCCGTTACAGCATCGTCGCGGACGACTCCAGCTCGCGGGAACACTTCTCGATAGACTCGAGGAACGGCTCCCTGTATCTGACGACGGACGTGGACAGAGAGGTGAACGATCGATACGAGGCCAAGGTCAGAGTCGACAGGGTGAAGATTGGTCGCGGAATGCCCGTGATGATTTACCCGGTTGTCGGTGAAAGGCTGAATGGTCTGGCGCCTAACGAGGCCAGGGTCGTTGTCAGGGTGAAGGATGTCAACGACAATGCGCCCAGATTCAAGTCAAAGGGCCGGCCCATCCTCGCCGCGATACCCACTACCGCCCATTATGGCTACGAGGTTGTCAAAGTCGAGGTACGTATGCAAGTATGCAAGTATGCATGCACGCGTGCATTCAGCCGCGGCGTATCAGCTGCCGGCTCCTCCGCGGCCGGGACCTCCGGCCGAGTTTAATTCATTTCGGCCCTCCCGTCGCCCTCTTACGCTATTTCGACGTCCCTTTCATCGTCGCCTCGGAACGCCGCGGCTCTTCTTATCCCGGCTCCGCCACCTAGGCCCCGCGCCTTTCTTTTTTCTTCGACGATTTTGCGGCCTCTTTCTCCTCTCCGGCGTCCCCCCTCTTTCTCTCTCTCTCTTTCTGTATGTGTAAGAATGTTTGCCCGTGTTTCTGCACGTGTGTGCGCGCGTACCCCGTTAATGGGCTCGCTTTCTGACTCGCTGCATAGTAATTCGCGTGCGTTTTAGAAGCTGCAGAGCCGGTTCCGCGTGAACTTGTAGCTCCGTGAAAAGGCTGAATTATGGACCGAGCGGGAAACCGGGACGGGGGATGGGCCGGCTTCAAAGTGGTTTCACTATTCGGCAACTACTATTAGTAATAACACAGAGTGCTCCTGATATTCGAGGACCTGTGCCCGGCCTGCGTATGCCGCCGCCGCCCGGTAATATCAATTTGGTCGGCACGTATACACCACCACGGCGCGTCGGCGAGTTTACTACCGTTCCGCACCTCGCGTGCCTCTGCGAGCGTCGGCTGCGGATAAATCATCCTTCCCTTCGATTTATTCGACTGTTATCGAGTCTATTTCGTAGAACGCCGCTGAAATTTACGTACGTCGCCTGAAAATCCCGGTTTCTTCCCGACGAAATTCGCGATAGGCCACGAATTTAACCCTTGTCTGGTTATATTTTCTTTGCGAACGATTTGGGCGCCTTTGATTGTGATCAGTTTTTTGAAGGCAAAGAAAGAATTCATTGTGTTTTTACACTTGTTCGAATGCTTACTTTATTCCATTGTTGCAACGTGTCAAATTTGCGATGAAGATTTCATGCATAATCTACCAAATACGAATGTTGTTCGTTTGTTCTAAATTAAAGGGAGACGTGCGATCAGGGCTAATATTATATATTAATTAATATTAGTCCTGATATAATGCGACAAGTCTCGCTTTAATTACTATTAATATTAGCCCTGATATAACGCGTCAAGTCTCGCCTTAATTAATATTAATATTAGCCCTGTTATAACGCGACAAGTCTTGCCTTAATTAATATCATTATTAACCCTGATATAACGCGTCAAGTCTCGCCTTAATTAATATTAATATTAGCCCTGTTATAACGCGACAAGTCTTGCCTTAATTAATATCATTATTAACCCTGATATAACGCGTCAAGTCTCGCCTTAATTAATATTAATATTAGCCCTGTTATAACGCGACAAGTCTTGCCTTAATTAATATCATTATTAACCCTGATATAACGCGTCAAGTCTCGCCTTAATTAATATTAATATTAGCCCTGTTATAACGCGACAAGTCTTGCCTTAATTAATATCATTATTAACCCTGATATAACGCGTCAAGTCTCGCCTTAATTAATATTAATATTAGCCCTGTTATAACGCGACAAGTCTTGCCTTAATTAATATCATTATTAACCCTGATATAACGCGTCAAGTCTCGCCTTAATTAATATTAATATTAACCCTGATATAACGCGACAAGCCTCTTGCACGTCTTCCATTAATTTAGAACAAACGAACAACATTTGTATTTGGTAGATTATATTATGGTAGAATATTATGACATAATAAAGCTAATCAATGGAGCTGAGAAAAAAATCGTAATGCAAAGGGTTAAATATTGCCAACGAAAGCACAAAATTTGAATCTGTCTTTGAAACACCGAATAACATTTTACACAAGAGGTTGAATCGAGTTTTGATTTTTTGTGACGTATTTTTTTGTGCTATCTTCGTGCTTTCTAATTCGTTTCTCGAAGAATGTATTATGTCACACACGAAGGGTTAAGGGTTGCTTTGAAGGTATCGCGACAACGACGACAATTCGAGTCTCGAATTATTAAGACAATTGAAGTGATTTTTCAAATTCACGTCCGCGGAGGATGCAGCAACGACGGTGCGAGGCTTTCACGGCAGAGTGTAATTAAAAAAGCGGCGGCGGCGGCGGCGGCGGTCGATCAATATTTCCCTTAAGGGTGCTATGCGGTCCGCGGCAAAGTAAAATCCGTCCGAATGAATCACACATTAATTCGTCCGAGCATGTTTCCATTATACTTTCAGAACGAGCGGGATCTAAAATTCAAATTATCCCGATTAATATTACTTTGCCGTTCGCGTAGCCCGCTGTATTCCATATCTTCCTCGTTCTTTGATCAATTTCATTCCAGCTGGCACTTGAATGCTTCAAGGAAATCAAATGCTTCAATAAAAATCAGCTTGATCCGGCGTACAACTAAAATACTATTTTCCGGACAGTCGAGCGTTTCACCGGGAAAACAAATGCATCTCCTGAAAACGAAAATATCTCCGCCATTTCTAGCGCCATTTGTTCTCAAATGATGTGAAATAAAACAAAAATAATTCCCACTCAAAACGAACCTACGATCTCTCCGAAATTTGTCGAGGACAAATGATACATCTTATTCTTGAAATATTGTTTAAACATATACCATTTTGGGAGTTATTAATCCGACCAGATATCCCGACCAAAAGTGCACATTTTAAAAAGAACATCGTTCTATTGGGTTGGCAACTAAGTAATTGCCGATTTCAGTTATAGATGTCTCTCACTTCCATTTTTATGATATCCGTAAATGTTATATTATAAAATTATTATTATTATCATTATTATTATTATTATTATTATTATGTTATTTTTTATTATCCGTGAATGTTAGCAACTGGACAAATTGAATGCAGCGGTCAAGGAAAAGCGACCAGAATTGGTCAATCGTAAAGGTGATTCACACTTTCAGGACAATGCTAGGCCGCACAATATATTCTTTGTCTAAAAAGTATGAATTTTATCGTCGACGCGAAGAGCTGTTTTCACCCCCTAGACACGGATCGTTGCAGATAAAAAGAAATACGTGTGAAATATTTCTCAACAAACCATATCGTACCGAAATTCCATTAAAATCACGTGTTACGCTTGTAAATGTTCCCTCGTTGTTGGTATTAAAGCTGCCTAATTTCTTCAGGAGGAGAGAAAAATCGGCGCAACGACACGGAATAAAGGCGATACCGTTTAATTAATGATGATCCGCAGGCGGAGGATCCGGACGAGGGTGCGAACGCGGAGATCCGGTACCAGATTCTTGGCCGGGAAGACGCCCCGCGGTTCGCCATTGACCCACTCAGCGGTCAAGTACGGTCCGTGGCGAGTTTTGGCCGCGATGCTGGACGCGTGTTCGGCTTCGACGTCAAGGCCACCGACAGACGGGGCGCCGAGAACGGACGCAGCAGCATCGCCAATGTCTTCGTAAGTGCCCCTGCCCCTACAATGCGGTGTTTCGCCCGACAATCTTAATTACCTGCCGTTAAACTCGAGCCCGGGTTAAACCGAATTTCCCCTTCCGGCGATTTTCCAGGCCGGCTCCCCCGTCCCGAATCGGCTTTTGTAGATCGCGTCCATTATCCGACGCTGTTTTGCCCGTAGGTGTACGTGCTGGACGACCAGAAACAGGTCGTGATGGTCGTCGGACGGAGACCGATGGACTTGGAACCGCAACTCGAGAACATCACTGCGTGAGTATAACGATGCAGTTCGGAGATTCGGATTCACCGTGGTCTGCGGATATCGTTAAACTGGGTTCATTATATTCGGCCATTAAAACCTACACGTGGAAGCATTTTCTTACTTTTCGCGATAAAACCGCCCTGCTGGTTTCGCATTTTCTAATTTCAGAGCAAGCATTCGTTATGGTAATACAGTAAATTCTCCACAATTCTCCTATCAGATTGGGCAGAAAAATGGACAATTTAGGAGAAAGAGATACGATTATTCGAGGCTTGCGGCTCGTTCTTATAATTGTTGGCAATCGGTAACTGTAAAAAAACAAGCCGCGAGGCTCGAATAATCGTATCTCCTCTTCCCAAATTGGCCATTTTTGCGGACGAACGGAGCGTCAATTAGAGAGACATTACTGTATGGCGTATAAGTTTGCTTCGCAATTTTTATTTAATTGGAATACTTGGATACTTCAATTTTATGAAATTTTTGAGGTTCTTGGCGCGGTCGTGAAATTTACTATAGTCGCGAAAGGACTAAATAAATAGTTTCCTTTTTATCGTCAAAAAGCAACCCTTGTTAATTACTTTCGCGGTTCCGTTTCTTAAGATCTGTAATCGTAAACGAGTATTTATGGTACGAATGGCCAAGAGAGATTTAATTCAATTTTAATTTGCCAAAAAGCAAGGTTAGTACCTGGTCATCTAGGGAATGATTCTAACGCTTTCGACATTTTTCGTTTAGGGTACTACAAAACGTGACGGGTCTGGACGTTCGTGTCAGAAAGTTGGAGCCACACATTGAAAAGAACCTGATCGATACGACGTCGTAAGTGATTTTTATTCACGATAGGTCACGAATCATCATTTTATAGTAACGCACATGATCTTTTGTTTTTAGTACGGACATTTATCTCTATGCTATCGATCCTCACTTAAACGTCATGATAGATATGGATACTTTGCACAAGTAAGTCACATTTTTTTTAACGTTATGCTCTTGATTTTCTGCAAAATTGTATGCATGTAAGCTTTATAGCTAGATGTTTAGTACAATAATTTTTTTTGTAGCTAGATATTTAGTACAATAATTTTTTTATACCTAAATGTTTAGTATAATAATTTTTTTATACCTAGATGTTTAGTACAATAATTTTTTTGTAGCTAGATGTTTAGTACAATAATTTTTTATAGCTAGATGTTTAGTACAATAATTTTTTATAGCTAGATTTTTAGTACAATAATTTTTGTTCTGCTAGATGTTTAGTACAATAATTTTTTTGTAGCTTGATGTTTAGTACAATAATTTTTTATAGCTAGATTTTTAGTACAATAATTTTTGTTCTGCTAGATGTTTTGTACAATAATTTTTTTGTAGCTAGATGTATAGTACAATAATTTTTTTATAGCTAGATGTTTAGTACAATAATTTTAGTTCTGCTAGATGTTTAGTATAATAATTTCTTTATAGCTAGATGTTTAGTACAATAATCTTTTTACATAGCTAAATGTTTAGTACAATAATTTTTTAAATCGATACAACGTTTCTGCAATTTCCAAATCCTCCAAATCGTGATCTCTAGTTGTATTTGTCTACAATACGGTATCCTCGTGAGAAAAGTCAAGTGATATTCTAAAATATAATGGATATTAATTTACTTTACGATAAATTTATTTGACGGTGAATTTATTTTACACGGATTATCCGCTGTGCTTCCAGCGTGTTCCACAAGAAGAAGACGGACATCAAGCGCGAGTTGGAGGAATACGATATCCTCGACATCGCCGGAAGTTCTCCGCGACGTGGTAATCAACGCTACTTACTGTCCACCCTAGAAGTGGGCGTCGTAGTGCTCGGCTGTGTCGTCTTTGTGGGCGCCCTCGTCAGCGCTCTTTGTGTCACTTGTGTCCGTCGAAATAAACGGTACGAGATCCACGACTTTGCACGATTCGGATTACGTCTCAGCTTTCCAACACTTAACCATTTCGCTCCACTAATTCCAGTCAATTTAGCGGAATCCTCGGATAGTAACATGTTTTACCTTTTAATGTATTGTTTACACGATTCAACAGCTGCAGATAATATATCGGTCTTCCGTAAATTCTCATTTCTGAAACTGCTGCAATTTCGCGAAAAGGATTACGATCCTTTCAGTAATCATTGATTAGATTCTTCTGAGGTATTTTTGATAAGTGACTACAATTTTTTAAAAATCGGAAATTCAATGTTCCACTATTTTTTGGAGCTAACCTTATATATATGGTGGTAGTAAATGATCATTTTTCAAATAATGTGTCAGAATTTTCAATGAACGAGATATTTTTCTTAATTGGAGCCTTATTATTCGCTTTTGTGTACAGTCACTCATTGAAATATTAGGGCATTTTTTGAAACAGAGCAACTTTTTAAAAATTCGACGAAGTGACTTGAATTTTATTGTCATTTTAGAGGGAATAGTTTACTAGACAATGTAAAAATGAATTTTTGCGACAGTGCCAATCTGTTTCGTCTCGAAGAAAAATTTGAACAATGCCTTTCGCAGGTCTCTGTAATTTATATGCATATAAAACGTTCCGCCAAAATTGATTAACGTTGTTACGATCTACGGACATTAAAAAATCGTGAAAATTATAGCTTTTCCAATAACTCTAAGAAATCTGAAGATTTTAACACCCAGTCAAAAATAAAAAAAGAAACGTCATAGCTTTACTTTCCTTGTCATCTTAAGCAATTAAAATTTGTCTGTTGAACTAGTCCCTCTAACATCTAAACAAAGATTCATCTCATTCGTTCCAATTCCGAAAAGATTATTCCGTTTTAAAAAGCCTGCGAATATTGTGGCGAGCACGTGGTCCAACTTTGTGGTGAAAAATGCGTCAGAAAATTGTGTCGTCAGCGAAGGTTTAACCGCACGAAATACGGTAAATTCTCCCTGATCAACGCCCAGCTTGTGCACAAAAATGGACGATTTTGGAAAGAGGAGATACGATTCGAGCCTCGCGATTCGTTTTCATAATTACCGATTATCGACAAAAATAATTATCCATTTTTATGTACAATCCGAGCGTCGATTAGGGAGAATTTCCTGTACGGTGAAAAAAGTTGCTTTATCACGCGCATCCCGCCGAATCGCATGAAAAATGTATGTCGACCGTCGTTTCGCGATGTCACCGAGACGTCTATTATAAACGGAGTTTCTTGAATTTCACCCGTTAGTCGGAAGCGCCGGCAGAAAGCAATGTTCTCGACGACCAGCCCGATTGGATTCGCATTGGCAGATCCGACCGCGACGCTGCAGAAGCCGCCGCTCTTCTCGACCTTCGTCGACGGCCTTCACTACGACCCCGAACCATTCTGCACCGACATGCCGAGGCGGCAGAGCATCTGCGAGCACGGAGCCAACTGTGTTCGCTTCCACGCGTAAGTCCATTAATTGACGCTACTGTTTTGTTAGGGACTCGCAGCGCGCGCGCGCGCGCCGCCCGCGATGCCTCATTGTCAGACCTATTAACCATTTGGGTGCAGAGCACCGGAATCGGGTTTCTCGATGACCTGTTCAGACCTTGCGGCCACACCTCCGATCCCCGCGTCCCGCAGTCTTCGATCCGCGCCACAAAAGTCAAAAATTCGGAGCGCTGGTTTGCTAAAATGCACCGCGAGATATTCATTGAATCGTACGAAATGTAACAAATATTGACGAGAGGTAATTTTTTAAACCACTTACAATTTTTGCAGATTATAACAAAATATTTTTGTTGAAATTTCTACTGGAAGTTTAATGCAAGAAATCAATTTCATTTCTTCGTTCACTTGCCATTGACAGAATATTTCTTGCTTTAATCTGGTTTTGATTATTGTAGAATCTCTCGAAACGGGTAAATTATTTTATGCAAATAATAATATATTTTCATGATTTTTCGTATTAAATGTTTATCAAGCTCAGTGATTTTTCTAATCTTCCTGATCGTTCTTTGTATCCTACTTCTAGAGCTTCGTTTGCTTAAATTTTGGTCGAGATGAAAATATTAACCATAATTGTCATTAAAAACGCTTCTCTGCCAAATTCATCCGCATAACATACTTTAGTGGCAAAATGTTCTATAAATGGTTTACGCGAGGATATACATCAGCATGATATATTTAAGATGTTGTCGTCATTAAGGCATTCTGTAATTATAAAATTATATTTTTCGTGCGAAACTTTGCTTCCCGGAAAGTCGATTCCGAGATTGAATTGTTAGCCTAACTCCTTGGCTCTGTTAGCCTAATTCCTCGGCTCTGTTAGCCTCTTTCCACTTGCCATTAACACGTTAACATTCATCGCTAAGGGTGCGTATCCGTTTTCTAGGGTCGCGTATAATCGCGCGTATCGTTGGAAACGGTGGAGCGCATGCAATAGAAAATAACATCGCCCAAGAATACGACCTACGATAATTGAATCAGGACCAGAAGGACTCGAAAAACGCCGAACGTTCATGATCATCAAAGAATTAATACCGACTAAGAATCGCTCATAACCAGACTGCGGATTTTATGCGTCCACGATAAAAATGAATCGATGCGATCGATCATCTTCAACTTATCACGGTTCTTGCTTCTTTGCATAAGAAGCAGAGCATGCTCTCCATTGCAGAGCATTTTTATTTTGCATAAGATTCGCAGTCTACTGGTAACTAACATCGCAACCGTGCAACCAAAATTCACTCTTCTCGGATAAAGCGGTTCTCCCTGGAAGAATTCGAGGCCAGTTTTTCGAATTCCAGTTCCGCGTAGAATCAGCGTACGGCGTTTGTGCAATTAATGGCGGCGCACCCCGTAAAGCCGATAAATTCCAAGGGTGAATCGGGCCAGGCCGACCTCCCGGCGAGGTTTGCGTCGGATGGCGGCCGGCTGCGCTCGTAGACAAGAATCGCGGATTCTTGCCGATCTTTTAAGCCGGCAGATATCAGGAAACGCAAACTACGGGGCCGAAGTAGCCGTGGCAGTCGAGGAATTGAATCTGCGGCTAGAAGGAATAACGTCGCAACTCGCAATTTCGAAAAATTTAATCAATTCTAAACCTGTATAATATAAATTCTTTAATAGATTTAATGAATACTATGAATTCTCTCTCTCTGAATTTAATGTATTCTATATTCTCTATTCTATATTCTATATTCTATATTCTATATTCTATATTCTATATTCTATATTCTATATTCTATATTCTATATTCTATATTCTATATTCTATATTCTATATTCTATATTCTATATTCTATATTCTATATTCTATATTCTATATTCTATATTCTATATTCTATATTCTATATTCTATATTCTATATTCTATATTCTATATTCTATATTCTATATTCTATATTCTATATTCTATATTCTATATTCTATATTCTATATTCTATATTCTATATTCTATATTCTATATTCTATATTCTATATTCTATATTCTATATTCTATATTCTATATTCTATATTCTATATTCTATATTNATTCCTAAATTTAATATATTCTATTCTATATTCTATAAATCCATAGATTCTATAAATTCTATAAATTCCATAAATTCTATAAATTCTGTAAATTCTATAACTTCTATAAATTCTATAAATTCTATAAATTCTATAAATTCTATAAATTCTAGAAATTCTATAAATTCTATAAATTCTATAAATTCTAGAAATTCTAGGAATCTATAAATTCCATAAATGCTATAAATTCTAGAAATTCTGAATTCAATATATTCTATCCTACATATTCCAATTCTATAAATTCTAGAAATTACGCAGATTGAAACACTGCTAACACGAGGCGTCGTTGATCAGAACTTGAAGCGAGAGTGTCTCGGGAGCGAGAACACGCGGCTTGCGGCGTTCCTCCTCGCAGCCGTAGAAATGAAGCGGCGACAGAGGGTAGCGTATCCATTATGAAAGCGTTCCCCCCTTGTTGCGCGAAGGTCGGTCGGCAATATACCAAATATTGTATCAGGGAATTTCCATATATTTCGCGATGTCGATGCTAGAGCCGGGGCTGGTTGCAGGATTGGCGGTAGTAGTAAGCACGCCGTGAGGACGACAGGGACCCCGAAAGGCCTCGAGGCATCCGCGACGTCCTTGCATTCCAGCGGTCAGGATTCTGGGATCGTGGCGCGCGCCTCCTGCCACTGCAGTCACTCGTCGAGCCCCTCCAGCGGCGAGAGCAGCAAGTAAGTCGAATTACTTACGGAGCTATTCGTGCTATCTAAATTGAAAAGAGAGTTCGGACCGGATCGATCGGACCGTTCCCAGCCGGACGGAATAACCGCGATGAATCGCGCCGGCTGCGGCGCCGCGCGATCCGCCGAATTTTAACCAGCCTGATCCCAGCAGCCTGATGCTACTTCAGGGTTCTTTCGAACGTGGTCGCATCTGTCGTCTCTGATCTTCAAGATAGGATTAGCTGTGCGCGATGCGTTCGTTAGGTCCAGCGAGATTAAGCTCGATTGAACAGCTGTGTCTGGATTTGGGCCCGGCTCGTTTTTCGAACGATTTTCTTGGCCACCGATTTTGTATACAGAAATTTTTGGCACGCCGTTTGCCGTGTCGCAGAGCTTGGACTCTCCTCTTTAATTCTAGAGCAGAATTAAGCCGCTGCGATTTTATCGCAGTTACGGCACTTTTATCCGACAGTAGACACGCGAACTTTTGACACAAAAGCATCCCACGTGGGGTGCTCGTGGATCTCCAGTAAGAAGTGACATTTATTGGTAATGATATATAAATATTTCTCTGTCTTTTTATTCAAATGAGTATAATGTAACAGTGTTGTATAATTAATATAATATAAATACATGGGGGTCCATTGGACATGTGCACTGCCGGATCAAATGAAAAATGTAAATGTAGTTCTATTTGTCGCATTTATCGTATTATATACATCGTATCCTGTTATAAAATATGAAAAAAAACGTCATCAACGAGAAGCTATAAATTCTCTGAATATCATGCTACGTGTTACAATCTTAAAGAATTATATTCCCAAAATTCACATTTGATGTTTTTTAAGTGAAATACGTAAAATCGTGGTCGTCGCACACGCGTGATGCTGATTGCGAACGTGTTAATTGCCAGCGGATTTGCCGCCAGACAACTCCGACTGACCAACGAAACGACCTAATTCATTGTTGTTTCCTCGACAGCGGGTACGAGGACTCTCTGAAGTCGTTGCAGCGTCGCGAAAGGGTGAACGACATGTCGCGCGGCAGCCACGACACGGCCAGCATCGTTGGTAGACGCGCGAATCAGGCGAACACCAGGCGGCGGCAACGTTTTAATTCTCTCTCGAACGGGGAGTCCGTGTACTCCCATGAGATGACGTTGCAGAGGGAGCAACGTTGCTGCGTCGGGACGGAAAGGCGGCGGAAGAACGACGGGCACACGCGCGAGCACCGTCGCGCGCATTCCGAAGCGGAGAACAATATCACCGAGACGGTGATACATGAACATCCCGGGACCGAGATTTCCCTGTCGAGCTCGTTGCAGAATACGTCGAGCATCCACGGTGAGTCCCACGAATGTACTTCGGTACGTCAGAGATTTTTGGAACTGCGCGATGACCGGCTGGATAAAAAAATATTCGATGGAAATAGACGTCGTTGCGTGAAATCTAATTTCGAGGATCCCTTGGGATTTAAACTCTTTGTCGTAACTGTCGTGATTCGATACCAAATTAGTCGATTCGTTTGTGTAATTTATTCTAGATGGTTCTAGGCTGTTCCATAATTATGTTAATGTCTGAGGTGAAGTCAATGAGCGGAATTGGGCTTCGTGCTCTCGTTGGCTAGCGCCGCCTCGCACCGCCTCTCGCCAGCCGAGTTGGCCTCTCATTGGTCAGCGTTTTTCGTTAATAACTCGCAAACGAAGCCACGGATCGCATTTTCGCTAAGGAAAAAGTTGCTTCAAATGACCTGAGAAATCATCTCCTTTCAAGTGTTAACATAATTATGGGACAACTTGTATAAAGATCACGATTTGGCAAATTTTTATGCTAAGTCATAGTTTAACACTTCAAGTACAACATACCGCAGTAAAATATCACTTTTTTTTAAAGTGATGACGAACCTGTTAAGGTTTGAGAGATTGAAAATATTGCGACAGCATTTCAGACCTTTTAAAATATCTTTCTACAGTGTTCTATTAAATGTTATCATGAAACCTGCAGCCTAGTGATGGTATGACAATTATGTCACAAATAATTTCAGATACTCGTACTTGCTAGGTTTAATATTAAATATCTATTAATTTCCGTCATAAATGCATAAAATCCACGTTTCGGTTGGCTGTTGCAGGTGCATCGAGGAGCAGCCACATGCTATACTGAGGTCGGACAGCCGAATGGGAGGCAGAGTCTCCGAAAGGAAGCGAGGTAGACAGTCTTCCTGGCCATGAGTGATTCTTATTGTCCATAGTGCGAGATAATTCGGGCTTCGCCACCGCGATCTGCTCTTTTCTCGCACGATGGTTCCAGCGTGACGAGCGATAAGATTCATCTTCGACGATCATTCGTGTTTGCGAGTATAGCTTTCCAGCTGCGCCGGTTTTGTTCCTGTTTCCGGACACAATACAACGTTCGTTCTCCGCGTCACGCGCGCGAGACGATCGGCCGCTCGCACGACGCACCGGGAAATTCGATGCTCGAAGGGTACTTTTTAATTCGCGGCGGACAAAGATTTCACGTCTTCCGCCGGTGTCGCGCGAACTAGAAGATTCCCGTTATCTAACCGCGATTTTCAAGCATCGCCATGCCGAGTTAGGGCGCCGAGAATGGGAAACGAAGCGTCGACCTCGAAGCCGCGCGAACAAGTTCTCTTACGGAAAATGTGTCATCCCGTTACCAAAGTATGTACTCATTAATACGAAAGTCGCTCATTGTTCTTGTAAATACGCGTGATGATCTGTGTGTCTACGCCTCGAGGACCGTTATCATTATTACTATTATTATTATTATTATCCTTTTTCTTTTTATATCCGCGCCGCGAACGTCCGTTCGTCGCGCACGAGCGTTCGAAGGAACATGTAAATGTTTCGTGTACAGTACGGTGTACATTTTGCGTCGAAGGTTGTGTGAATAGTGTGTATTGTAACGTTCTCGTGTAGTCTACTTGTTTAGGTACTTTGTCCGAGATTCGCGTCGGATCGACGGGATCGATCTCGCCGACGAACTTTTACGGTTCGATTTACACTTGAATACTTTTCACTTTTAATAGAACGCTCAACATTGTATATTAATTGCGATAATTTGCTCCCGCACAATTTCCTCGGGAGTCCAGATAATCACAAAAATCATTTATCCCGTCACTTTATTCTCATTTTTTCCCCGCAAGTTCGTCCGCGAAGATCGACGCCTCGGCGTTCCGACGAATATCACCCGAGCCTCTTGTGAATACACGAATTTTGTAACGTCCCCTGCTTTACGACCTACGAGATCGATTAATATATTTAAAATCACTGTAAGAAAGTGTAACATATGTATGTAATATTGTATAATTTATACCGCGGGCCGGGATGGCCCGGCGAACCGTAACCGTGTTAATAAATCGTTAATAAAAGCAAATGCCGACAACATGGCGTCCCCGCACGGAAACATTCCTTCCGTTTCTTTCCGAAACGAGCTCCCCGGATTTCGCTGGCTCAGCGATTCTCGATCAGTTTGGCTGGGAATTTTATTAGCCGAAGTTACAGATCGTTCGATCGAGGCTAATAAAATTTTGATATCGTGTACAGCAGTCCCTTGTCTTTTAACGGTTGTTCGAGAGACAGGAAGAAGCGCCGACATTCGGTCGTCGCGGTCCCGAACCTGCCAAGGACTCGGTTGGACCGTGAGCCCTAGAACGCCGATCATTGTAATAGATTCAAGGTCCGTTGATCGGCGATGTACCCGTGACAGCCCGGAGGAACCAGGAATCTTCTCGTACGATTCATTTGATCGTAATTAAAACACCCACGCTGATTTGATCGGCGGCCAGAGAGATTCCAGAGGTGCCCAAGCACCGTCGGGAATTGCGAGCTGACACCGCGGCGGTGACCTTTCGCATCAAGGCCAAGGGACATGTTGATGAGGCATTCCGCGCGATCGAATTGTCCGAAACATCGGGATAGCTTCTATCGGTATCCGGATCATCCAATCTTTCCGCGCCGGAAGAAATGTTGTTCTTCGAGTTCCAGGTGTTCACCGTGCTTCACGGATTCCGATTTTCTCCCATTCACGCTTCTCGTTTCGTTTCGATTGCAGTCGTCGACGCGAAACGTTCTGCGCGCCTCTGAATTTTAATCGATGCCCGATCTTTCACGGACGCTTACTCGTTTGACAGACTTCGGAGGGAATGCAGTTCGTTTAAATTTGTTTAATGATCGATTTGTATGTAAATTTGAAATTTATAAATGAAGTTACGGAAGAGTTTGTAATGCGATTGTAGAAGCTTTTAATTTAAAATAACGTCTGTGTAATTATAGAGAAGTATGCAGAAAGGTAACTTTTTATTAAAACGTTATATATGTTGGATTTCATTCCCATAAATTATCTGCACAATTTTTCGTTAGAGTATAATAAATTCTCCCTAATTGACGCTCAGGTTGGACGCATTGGGAAAAATGGTCGATTTGGGAAGAGGAGATTCAATTATTCGAGACCTGCGATTAAGTTTTTATAGTTATTAACAATCGATAACTATACAAACAGGCTGCAAATTCTCTTCCCAAATTTTTGTGTGCAATCTGAGCGTCAATTAGGCAGAATTTACTCTATTGTTGAACTATATTTACTGTACAAAGTTGGACCACGTGCTCGCCACAATATTCGCAGGCTTTTCAAAACGGAATAATCTTCTCGAAATTGCAACAAATGAGATAAATCTTCTCCGAGATGATAGAGGGACTAGTTCAACAAATTTTAATTGCTTGAGATGACAAGAAAAGTAAAGCTATAACGTTTTTCTTTTTATTTCCGACCGGGTGTTAAAATCTTCAGATTTCTTAGATTTATAGAAAAAACCACGATTTTCAACGATTTTTCAATGCTCGTAAACGATGCTGTCACGTTCTATTCAGAGCTTGTAACGTCACCTAAAAACAGTTAATCACCGCAAACGATTTGCAGCAACGTGAGCGGCATTTAAATTCTTAAGAATCGTAGGACACAAAAACTATCGCAAAGAGTTTTTAGACCCATCGTCCAAATGTTATTTGTTCTATTGGATTTCGCGTGATTTATCGCCACCTGTATCAATACCCTTCTGACGTATAGATTACGGGACAATGAACGTGTTAGCACGGGGTTTTGTAAGTTCTGACGTTGATTTATCCTTGCCCATCTCCCCGTCCACCTCGACATCAATTTATTACTCTATACGGCAAATAGTTCCTTTCAATCGTTTATAAAGTCGCACCTGTAATGAACAATTTCAAGCATCGTCCGGTGAAAAATTACGCCGGGTATTGAAAAATACGTTCCACGAAGGCGGCGCACGTTTTCTCAAAACGTTCGGATCTGTAGACTTATTCATAGTTGGGAACCGTTCGACAGATTGAATTTATGGATGTAATAATCCCTATTGCGAGCCGATACTTTTCGTCGCTCTTTCGTCGGGGAAACTTCTTACACAACGCGGTCCCGTCCCCGCGGAACGTGTCCGAAACCGTGATTCACCGAGGGAACAATAAACAGGCATACTAAGTTTAGCTTGCCCACGCAGTGTACACGAAAGACCTAAATTCGGGAGCAAGAGTCAACACCTGGTAATCTCCGAGACGACCCTTGTTCCTCGAACCGTTCGAGTTTTAACACGTTCCGTGCCGAGCTTTTTTTACTCGAATATTCACACTTTGATATTTTACTAAAACTTGATGTATTACGTGCAATTATTAATTCTCGTACACATAACAACGTAACAAAAACTTATCAACGCCCATTCTTGCGGTGGAAATTGATTCTTCGGTTCTAAATTTCTTGTAAACAATTTGTTCAGTTCACTAAGTAAACATGCAAGCGTGTACCATCGATGGTACACGTGGCACGGAACGTGTTAATGGCAGTCTGGTAAGTGGAGTTGTTCTTATATTTTCAGATAGGAATGTATAATATACATGTATGTGAACATTTCGAACATTCATTGTTTTTTATTTGGAGTGAAACGTGGCGTAACGGTCAAGCTCGAATTAAGAATAAATTGCAATCGTGATTTATATTATTATTTCTTGGTTGGGTTCAGGCTAATGGACGCTTTTAAGACGAACATTTTTGTTGTTGTAAAATAACGAGATAAATAGACAATAATGCGATTATGCGAACGTGTGATGCTGAAGAATATAATCTACGATGACGGAATTGTGCAATTTATGTTACAAAAAATTGCAGTGCGAGGAGATGAAATTTAATAATTGATATCACCGAGAAATGAAATCGATAATGATAAAATTGATAGATAAATAATAGAATAGATAATAATGCGATTATGCGAACGTGTGATGCTGAAGAATATGATCTACGATGACAGAATCGTGCAATTTATGTTACAAAAAATTGCAGTGCGAGGAGATGAAGTTTAATAATTGACATCGCCGAGAAATGAAATCGACAATGATAAAATTGTATAATTTAGGTTGTAGAGAAATGTAATCGATGATGATAAAGTTGTTTAATTGATGACGTAGAGAAATGGTAAACGACGATGATAAGATTGTCTAATTTACCTTGGGGAAAAAAACGATTCTTTCTAACAATATAGATAATGTATTATAGAATTATTATAATATTATTATGATATTATTATATTAATCATTATCGTATAATAGTAAAATTACTATAAAATTATTATATTAATTATTATGATATAATATTCAAAATATTACAAAATTATTATAGAATTATTGTAGAATAATTATTATATTAATTATTTTGATATAATATTCAAAATATTACAAAATTATTATAGAATTATTATAGAATAATTATTATAGAATTATTTTGGAATGATTATTATAGAATATATATAATTATTATAGAATTATTATAGAATAATTATAGAGAACGTATGACCGAATCATCGCAGAACGATTACAGAATATTATAATCATTTAAATTATAAATTTAATAAATCACCAAACAATTCAGTCAAAAAGCGATTGAAAGTCGAGCAGAAAGCAACCAAATACTTTTCGCCAGAAAATTGTCGTCGCAGTTCGTTCTCGGTAAGCTGGGACAGTGGAAATTAAACGAAATTCGGTCGTGCCATTGAGCGCGATTTTCCATCGACCGTGGCGGCGATAAGTATCGCGGAAGAACTCGGCTGAAGAAGAAAGGGTCGAAGGGGTGCAGGCGAAGGGCGGTGTCGCGCTCAGGAAAGCAGCGTCACGGGGTCGTTGTGTGCGATGTGTGCTAATTCTTCGGAAGGCCCTCATAAGAGGCCGAATAAATCATCGGTAAATGGGTTAGGTTGTAATTGTTCCACCCACACGTCGGGCCACCGTGTCGGAGGATGTCAGGGACGCTCGCTGCGAGAACCACGGGACGCTGCAACTACATCGTGTAAAACACATGTGCCGCGATCTCTATTAGACCGCGGTAATTTTCATAAACATCCAGGATTTCCATTTACGGTTGGCCGAGTTTTTGCTATCGCGGGATGTTTGTTATTAAATGGAAACGCGCCGGCCAGGTCCGAGGCGGCGTCTGTAATTTTTCATCGAGCTTCGCTCGCCCCGGGAACCGTGTTTCGCAGGTCTTATTTGCCGGTCAGCTGTTAGGTGTTTGACGAGTACACTCGCGTCACGGAGAAGCGGCAGTAGTTTCTGTCGCGACGAGTATACTCGTCGGACGTTAAAAGTGGCGACCATTGGCTATTTGAATTGTAATTCTAGTGAAAACAAATACATATTCTGAAATTTCATTTTGTTTAGAATATTTTGAGGCCGATCCTACACGAAGGTGTTCACATTGTTATAAAAATATGATTAAAAAAAGATCACGAGATCGATTCTCTAAAGCAGCAATTTGAATTTTTAACATTTACAACTATTTGATTTTTCCTGTGTTTGTTCATGTTCTATTTTATTATGTATGTAGTATATGTTAACGATAAGGGAATAAGTAAATGTTAGTAATAAAATTGTTAATTTTATGAAATGAATCTCCGTCTCTTTGATCCAATATATCGTCACCGCTTGATTCTCGCGACACATATAAATGCGCGCTCTAAAAAGTAGGCGCCACAGTTAACTGGTTAACGCGACGATTGACTAGATTTTCAAGTAAAATAACGCAGAGTTTATATAAATTAATTAACCATAACACGTGTAAAATATTCGCGTATCTTAAATGCGCCTAAAACAATCGCATGCGATCGCTGACAGTGAAATGGATTCTTAATCGACTGCAATCGACCGAGGAATTGCTGCAATTCCCGCGTAATAACTTACCCGTGTAAGTTATTAACTTTCAAGAGTTAATTTAGACTGGAAGAAGCGGGGGAGACGCTCTTACACGATTGCTTGGCTTCCATCGTTTTAAGAACTCCGAAGTTTTTCTGCCCGGGCCGGGACCGCGCGCGGGCCAAAAAGTTTCGGAACCG